AATATTATATAAAATTACATTTAATTTCTAAGAAAATATTGGTTTGTATTACATGTTAAAAGGATGTAATCTTTGGATTATTAAATTGTTTATAAATTATAACTAAAACAAAACTGGAATTCTACAATATATTGATTAATTACCAAAATGCAAAATTACAAATATAAGTAGCATACATAAAATGATAATATTATTTGATACAAATTAAATAATATAATATAAAATTATATTTATTTAAACTGTAAAATTTAACTATTTATACATATATAATAAATATGCAAAATAAACTGCATATATGCAAAATAAACTGCATATGCATATATGCTGTTTAGGCCATCCCAGAAGTTAAGCACATTATATTAAATATTAAAATAAAAACAATGTAGTCTAAATTCAAGATTCATGTTTATAAAACATGATTGCACAGTTAGTACGATTTAAAGCAATAATTAAACATTTTATAAAAGTGCTTAATGGGCTGCAAAATATCATTTACAATTCAACTCCCAAACGTGAGGGTATTTCTCTTTAATCCATTGGTTGCGACTATCGGTGCAATCGATGCAATCATCTCTAACAAGATTCAGTCTATTTTCTGCCAAAAACAAATCGAATTCATTTTGAGCTAAATATCTAATCGAATCGATAGAAAAATGAATAATCGTTGCGCAACCGATCGACTCAAACGATCGGTCAGTGAACGGATCTTTTGCCTGACCCCAAAAATATATTACTAAAACTTTTTCATTAGTATTGCGACCGATAGTGAAGGCGTGTTCGGCCACGCTTTGTATTGGACTGTTTTGGAAGTTCAAGTGTATAAGTGCTGGCAAATCGTTAAACGCATGCCCATATATTGTTGTCAATGGATTTGAATAAATACAGATTTCACGCAACTTGATTAGACCCGATATACTATTAGTATGCAGTGTGGTTACACCGGTACTGTACAGCATGAGATAATCCAAACTTTTTAACGTGTTGATAGCGCCAAACAAGTCTGAACTGTTAGTGGCCAATTCGGTGATCGGCACTGATTTAATAAATAACCATGTTATGGTCGCTGCCGTGCCATCAAACGCCCGCAAATTTATACGATTTAATTTGCCCGTGTTATTAATATAAATTTTACTAAACTCAATTCCACCGAACGCGTTTGCCGGTAATTCTTCGATGGCTGTGTTAGTCAATTCAATTTGTCGAAAGGGTTTGACAGCTGCTGGCAATCTGTGCTTTAAATCGCTGAGTATAGCTTTGATATCAAACTTCTCGCTACCCGAGCAGACAATATCGCAATATTCAGGATTATCTTTATAAGCGCATGGTGATTTAATTGGGAATTCTTCTGGGCATGTGACGTATTTGCCAATAACGTGGTTAATTAAAACAATTAATGTTAATAGAAATGCTAGAAAATTAAAATTATATTAAAATCAATATTTTAAAAATAATTTTTATACTTATTTTATTGATATACATTTGTAATTAAATTGTGTTTATATATTTATAATTATAAAATTTTTATTTTATAAAAATATGTTGTAAATTGTTGTGAATAAGATTTGAAGTTTTTATACTATTTGTACAAAAATTTCATAAGCTAGATAAATTAACTTTAATCCATTAATACTAGATATTGTAGAATGCAAAATTGATAAAGTTAATTATACTTAGTTTGTATAATGTGTTTTTTACTGTACATAAATATTATTTATAAATATTGTACTGTACAATAATTGTAATAATTACAATAATAATAATAATTATTCTAAATTTCGATTTGAAAAAATATTGAAAATAATATAACTTTATATTGAAATTGAAATTTATTTAAATTTTTTATATATACAGTATAAACTCATTTAAACAGTATAAATTATAATTTATAAATGTTTGATTGACATTATAAGCGCTAATTAAACCCAAGATTAGTTTCCTTGTTATGTGTTGACTTAAATATTGATATTATAATTTACTAATTCCTGTTAATCCTTAACTACATGAAAATGCTTACTTTTAAATATATTTAATTTTGTATTTTCAAAGTACGCATTTATATGTAGTTAAGGATTAACAGGAATAATACGCGATTTTGTATATTATCGGTAAAAAACACTTTGAATTCATTTAGTTTTTTTGTCATGTTTTGATAAAGAATTCATCACATGATAAGATGTTGAGGTTAATATATTAATCTCAATTATTATATTTGAACTAATTTATTGGATACTAAGACATGCTAGATTAATAATATAGAAAATGATTTGTTGAAAAACAACTTGTTTAAATTATTATTTTATATTAGAATTATAAATAGTATCATAAATAAGTATTCTAAATTGTAAAAACTAGGATATTTATCATATTAATGAATCTATAATCAAAAACATTTTTATATTTTATTATTAAATAAATCATAATTGGCAAATTAATGTATTAATTAACCAAATATAATATGCATTAATTAATGTGATATATAATTTTGTGTGACAATTAACCCTAATATCGCATAACAAAAATTTTCTCACATTTTATAGTATAATTGCCAAAACTAGGCTTTTCCCGTATATAGAGAACATAGCATCGCGCGTCAGCTATAGATTTTTAAAATTTATACATATACAAAAGAAAATATTTAATTAATTATTATTTTGTGTATAGAAATTATTCATAACAATGTTTTTGTTAAAACTGCCTAAGACAATCATCAAAATTCTATACAAATTAAATTTATTTTTACATTTTATTTAATTAATATATAATATAATTAAATAATTAATAAGGAAACCAGTCATGTTTTTTTTAAATGTATATTGCAGTATGAGTCATTTGTGTATTTTTACTACAAATGCAACACTCGTAAGCTAATATACATGCTGATAAATATCCATTTACGCTATAATATATTGGCACAAATGATAAATAGGTTCCTTGAGCGCCTTCTAGTGTCGCTAAAATTATTAAAACAATATCATTATTTAAGTTAACATTCTTAGGCACCAGAAATTAAGTTTCATCAAGATTGGTTAATTGGTCTGTATTCTAGAAATTTTTAAAAAGTGTCAGTTGGAATTATTTTCACAAATTTGCACCAAAATATTTGGTCAAAAATTATCATATTTTTAAAATAAAAATATTTTTCAAAATACATGTTTGAAGTGATTATTTAGGTATTGGGATTCATCAATAGCTATCTGACAATAGTTTAGAGAAGATATAAAACTTTGGCTATTATGAGAATCAAATGCAAACCGACCGAACACAGGCCGCCAATCGGGTTGACAATTGATAATGATATGGCCACAGTTGGGGTACCGGTTACTGTTGGACATTGAATAGCATATCATTAGATACATTAAATATTGAAGATTTCAAAAGAGTAGGGGTTTTGTATTATCTCTATTATTGTTTGAGAATGATCGATTTTAATCAAAATTCACCCATCTTTTTTAGCAAAATTTTTACTCTCCCATAGGAATACATTATATTGACGGGTGTCATATAAAATATTCCTGTGTCTTAACTATTGATGCGAATTTTATGAAACTTGGTTGCTGGTGCTTATGAATGTTAACTTAAATAATGATACCATTTTAATAATTCTAGCAACACTAGAAGGCGCTCAAGCAACTTATTTATCAAATGATCCAATAATTTTGATATTGCCTTGATAAAAGTATTGATATGACAGTGATAATACAATGTAAATTTACACGTACACACGTTAAGCACCTACAGTATTAATATGCAGTACATGTATATTTTTCATCAGTTTGTAAATTATCAACATATTTAATAGACTAAAGGCTATAACTAAAGTTGGTAAATTACAAGGATTTTTTTTGAAGCCACGTAATTTACGTTGTAAAATACAAAAATGCACGTAATATAACGTAATATTACTTACTATGGGGAAAAAATTAACATAGTTTATAATTTAAAATTAAACTATTTAATTGTATTATTCACACTAATTATGCATGGTAGAACATTTTATAACCAATTCACCATTAATTATTATATATTTTACAATCAAATTAATTGTTTCTAAATTTATACATCTTATTAAATTTGTATACAGTAAAACCCGATTATAAGAAAGTTATATTTTATACGAGTTGCTGATTCAATCATTGATTTTCGGCAAAAATTGCATCAATATTTGTCATTCGTTTTTGTAAAATAGCCCAAATTTAAATTTGTATACAGTAAAACCCGATTATAAGAAAGTTATATTTTATACGAGTTGCTGATTCAATCATTGATTTTCGGCAAAAATTGCATCAATATTTGTCATTTGTTTTTGTAAAATAGCCCAAAACAATTGATTTTGGTTTTGATTTTCTGATTTTAATTGATTATTATTTTTATAAGAACGTATTTTACAAAATGAAAAATGTGTGTACGTAAAATACACTGTAAAATACAACGTAAATTACGTACGTAAAATACGTGGTTTGTCATATTGCCAACCCTAGCTATAACAATATGACTCAGAGGTTAATCCCAGGTATGTCACGAGCAATCAGTGCACACATGCGCACTGCACACACATTCCTATGCAAAGCACATGTTTTATCTCAAATCATGAGTTTTGATAATTATTTGCGGCAAAAATGCCATAAAATATTGAGCATAAAAAGCCGACTTTCAACGTGTTTTTGACGACACAAATAGTCGTGTATTTCTTAATTCAAGTGACAATATAGTGAACAATTAAATTGGCATTCATTTAGTTTGTGATTTAATTATTCACATAATTATATTATAATTAATAATGTTTTGTGTATTTAATGCTTAAAAATGTGTGAGATATTGAAAAAGTTTGCGATTTGTGATAATATTCCTCTTGATATCAGAGGAAATATTACAAAACTATATGTTTTCAACGATTGTAGTAATAAATCCAATGTATTATTTGTGGCAAATAATATGGTCTATGGTTTTGGTCATAATATCAATGGATGTCTTGGATTGGGACACAACAGACCCATACTATCACCGCAAGAGATACCAGAATTGCGTAATCAAAGTATACAATACTTTGTCAACGGATATAATTTCATGTTAGCAGTGAATGCCGTGAATAACGTATTCAGTTGGGGCGCACAATTGGCCCAGGGTCATAATCAAACTGTATATTTAAGACCACACCTCATACAACATTTTAGCGGTAAAAATATTGTTCAAATCAGTTGTGATTATTCCCATTCACTGGCCCTCACCGGTGACGGCCGGGTGTATGCCTGGGGTAGCAATTATTACGGACAGATTGGATGTGGAGATGGCATTGGATTCACTAATACACCGATTGAGATGACATTTAAGTTTAATTATAAAATAAAATCCGTTTATTGTTATAACGACTCGTCGTTTGCCATCACATCCGACGGCCGTGTCTTCAGTTGGGGTGAGAATAGTTGCCATCGATTGGGACACAATATAACCGATGATAAAGTGCTGAAACCCCTAATGATTTTAACCATAAGTGATGTCATATCTGTCTGTTGTTCACAATTGGGTACTTATTTTCATACAACAAATGGTCTTTACTTTTGTGGCAAATATTACAACAACAGTAATGTATTGATTGAAACAATTCCGACACAAATAGTTAACTATTATTTGCAAGAAATTCATTTCGGTATTAATACTCATAATAATGAATTCATTTGCGTTATGCATAACAAGAAAGTATACAAAATACTAAATGACCGCAAAGTATACGAAACAAAATATAACAATTTTGTCGGCTTTTACGCCAAAGAGTGCCAAATAACTAACAAAACCATTGATTTGCGAGATATGAATGAATTAACAATCATTACATCAAACGATATCGAAATGAAAAGCGTTAATACAGTGAGTGTTATGTCATTTGAAGAGTTCAGAGAAGTATTACAACCGATGGCCAGTAATAGCGATACTATTACACCAATGGGAAACAATAATGGTAATTGAAATTTATAAATCATGGTGATAATGATACTATATTAACTTATATTGAATTAATTACAGGTCAGAGCCAAGTGTCTCAAAACAGCGTTTACCATAATACTTTTGATCAACTCGATCAGATTGGGTGGGGTGGGTTCGGCACTGTGTTCAAAGTGAGACATAAATTGCTTGGTATTGTGTACGCGGTCAAAAAAGTCACCTACCCCGGTAAGTTGTGTTTAATTAATTAAATAATTAACTTTGAAATATAATGACTACAACTTTTTCTAATAGCTGAGGGAAGTGATGGACGTCAACAGCGAGTGCTAAAAGAGGCACAAAGTTTAGCAAAACTGAGCGCACAATATGTGGTACAGTATTACAACTCATGGCTCGAAGACAACAACACTCGACTGTACATTCAGATGGAGTATTGCCCGCAAAGTCTGAAGACAGTATTGGCCGCCAAAGCGCTGGCTTTTGGCAGACAATCAAAGGCGGAACCGATGAACGCATTCGAGTATTTCATTTCGTGTGAAATATTCAAAGAACTCTTAGAATGTGTTGAATATATTCACGGATTGGATCCACTGCTTATTCATCGGGACATTAAACCGGACAATATATTAATTGATCCCAACTTCAGGTCCAATCGGTGCGTAAAACTGTGTGACTTTGGTTTGGCCACTGTTCACGACCCGAACCGACACTCTGCCAGCCATACGAAAGATGCGGGCACTCCTGCATATATGGCGCCCGAAGTATCTAGCGGCCGATATAATCACAAGTCAGACATTTATAGTGTCGGTCTAATCGGGAAGGAGTTGTTTGGCATAGATTTCAATGTGTAAGTAGTTTTAGAAATATTTTTTAATCTAATATTTATTACATTTTATTTTAATTATGTTTTATTTATAGCTCGCAATCATTTGAAGCAAATGAATTGGTGGTCAAGTCATGCATACTATGTATGCCTCAAACGCTGGAGGATATGATGATAACTGGCCGGCGATGGAAAGACAGGACTGAGTGTCGGCAAGTGTTGGCCAAACAGAACGAGTGGTCTATCGATAAGTCTGTTGTTACGACTCATAAGGATTTTAATTTAGTGTTAAATACACTTAAATCTAATATTAATTCAGTTTTCTATGAGATTTTATTTCGCAAAACAAAATAATATTATTTGAAATTATAATTGTTTTGACTTTTGTTTTAAACATAATATTCAACAATAAGTGAAGTATTTATTGTAATTAATAATTAATGATTGCAAGAAAGAAAACAAAATGTATTCACATTTAATAAACTATTTGTCCATTTTTATAGCATTATAAAATGTTTGTTTAAATTAATTAAAAGTAAATTCAAGTTAATGAACAATCTTAACAAGCAAAACATGACATGGTTATTTTAAGAGGGGTTGTCTCTTATATACAGTATTGTCCGCCGATTACATAACGTAATCAATGTGTCAATGATTGTTGAGTTTTTACAATAGGGTTATAGCGTTAGCATAGCGTACGTCAGTGTTATAGCGCTCCCTCTGAGCCCCCAAACCCTTGTCTAGCATTGCCTACAATCGACTCAATAGGTGTCAATTTGTCGACGTTATTGACGTTCATTAGGTTTTGATATTACATCAGCGATAGTATGGCTTATTATATGGCATTCGCTTCAGTGGTGTTCACAATGTCTTGAGTCGATTGAGTGCCCGATTTTGAGCCCATTTTGGTGTATATTTTGTACATTTTTTAGTATTGATTTGTATTAGAAATAGTGTTGAAAATGAGTGAACAAAGCAATAGTCGGCGAAATTGAAAAGTGAACTAAACGTTGAATCAAACGATTGTTTTTATTGTTGTGTTTTTTACGTGAATTTCCAAACGATTAGGTTTTGAGTGAATTTGTGTTAGGGTGAGCGAAAAAGTAATTTTTAGCGAAGATTACCTTCAGGTAAATTTACCGGTAATAATTACCTGCTAAAATTACCTCCAAAAAGCTCACTCATGAGATGGCAGCACCGCTAGAATAGCACTATTAACGCTAGTGACTTTCGAGTCCATCTCCCATCATAGCATTCTCGGCCGTCATAGATTACCTGATTTTCATATTTTCGCCCATGCGCATTTTGCGCAAAATTGATAATTACATAAATTCCATAAATTGCCTTCACCCTAATTTGTGTACACTTTGTGTCATTCAATAGTGGATTGCATTTGAAATGCATTTTTAGTTGAAAACCAATAGTGAGAGCCATTGAGTCGAAAACCACACAACCATTGCTTATATTAATAATTGACAACAATTGCATCAATGCGTGGATCAATTGGTCACTCATTCACTACAACGCGATCTTCAAAATCTGGTCACTCTTTTCACTCGTATTTATGTTTCAAATGTCTCTTTGAAATCAATGTTTGAATGAAACAAATGATTGATTGTTATGCAATAATAGTAACATTTATTTCATGTGTTTAACATTGATTTATTAAGATTATACCATAATTAATAATATTTTGTGTTTGAATAATGTTTTAAAATATAAATAATGAGTGATTTGTTGAAAAAGTTTGCAATTTGTGATCAAATCCCGACTCAAATCAAAGCAAATATCGTTAAATTATATGTTTTTAATGATTTTCAACAAAAACCTAATGTTTTATTTGTCACAAACAATGATATGGTCTCCGGTTTTGGTAATAATAGCTATGGATGTCTGGGATTTGGACACAACAAACCCATACTATCACCACAACTGATACCACAATTATGTCATCAAAATATACAATACTTTATCAATGGATGTGATTTTGTGTTAGCAGTAAATAATGTGAAAACTATATTCAGTTGGGGTTATAATCGTTTGCAACAATTGGCCACAAATAATAATAATAATGAGATTTATTTAACACCAAAAATAATACCATTTATTAAGAATAAAAATATTGTTCAAATCAGTTGTGGTTCTTGTCATTCACTGGCCCTCACGAGTGATGGCCGGGTGTATGCCTGGGGTTGCAATGGTTTTGGACAAATTGGTTGCGGAGATAATAATCAGTATATTTGTACACCAATTGAAATACAATTGCTTAAAATATGTAAAATTGAATCAATTTATTGCTATCATAACTCGTCGTTTGCCATCACATCCGATGGACTTGTCTTGAGTTGGGGTCTGAATAGTGATCATAGATTGGGACACAATATAACCGATTTGGTAGTAATGAAACCCACACTCATATCACACATACGTGATGTGAAAACAATTTGTTGTTCACAATTGGGCACATATTTTCACACACCAATTGGTCTATACTTTTGTGGTAAATATAATGATGATAAGCTAATGGTTCTAACATTTATATTAAGTGGTCATTTTAAACAAATTGATTCGTATATTGATATTTATTACGAAATCACATGTGTGTCGAACGATAAAATCCACAAACTATCAAATGATCACAAATTATGCGAAACAAAATATAATGATTTAATCGAGTTTTACGCCAATGAATACCAAATCACTTATAAAACAATTGATTTGAGAGAAATAAATAAAATATCAATCATATCGTCAAATGCTATGCCAATCGATGACAACAAGAAATTCAACAAAAAGTTACAAAAGATTATTATTCATAACATTAATGCTGTGGAAACAAGTGGTGGTAATTGTAAACCATAGTTAACTTTATTGATTAAAATTATATAAATTAAACTATCATTATATATATGACAGGTCAGAGCGTTTACATCAATCCTTTTGGCAAACCTAAGGTGATAGGGAGGGGTGGGTTTGGCGTTGTCTATAAAGTGAAGCATAAGTCAGGCGATGAGGTGTACGCCATTAAAACGGTCACTTTTCCCGGTAAGTCAACTATTTTACTAATTGTTTAGCTGTAAAATATTTATCATACAGTATTAGTAAACATTTTACATTTAAATAATTTATAGCGTCGAGTGATGCACACAAACTGCGAGTACTAAATGAGGTAAAAAGTTTGGAAAACGTGCGCTCAGAATATGTGGTCCAGTATTACACCTCTTGGATAGACAGCAATCGGCTGTACATTCAGATGGAGTATTGCCCGCAAAGTCTGCGCAAAGTATTGGCCGACAAAGCGCTGGCATTTGGCCGACAATCGCCGACCGAACCGATGGATGCGTTTGAGTATTACATATCGTGCGAAATATTCAAAGAGCTCTTAGAGAGCGTTCAATATCTTCACGAATTGAATCCACGGGTCATTCATCGAGATCTCAAACCGGACAACGTTTTGATTGCCAACACATTAATTGGAACTAACAATAGCCGGCGATTCATAAAATTGGGTGACTTTGGTTTGGCCACTGTTCACGACCCGAGCCGACACACTGACAGCCGATACGGCCATACATTAGGTGCGGGCACTAAAAAATATAGAGCACCCGAAGTTTCTAACGGCAGATATAACCACAAGTCAGACATTTATAGTCTTAGTATAATTGGACAGAAGTTGTTTGGCATTGATTTGCAGACGTAAGTGTACAATAAGTTTATTTTATAACATATTTATTATATTTTTACGGTTTGTTTTATTGTATTAAATTTTTAGGTCGCAATTGTTTGAAGCAAATAAATCGTTATTTAAGTCATGTATGTCTGAAATACTGGAGAAAATGATGGCATATCCGCGATGGAGACAAAGACCTGAATGTCGGCAAGTGTTGGCCAAACATAACAAGTGGTCTTTCAATAGGCAAACCTTTATAACCTCTGATTTGAAAGTCAGATTAAATAGACTTAAATCGTATAAAAACTCATTTTTCTATGAGTTTTTAAAATACAAATCCGGAAATTAAATTCACACACAATTTGCTTATATTGTAATGCAATTGAATATTTAATACTCACTCGATGTCATTGTATTCACATATTAAATACAGGAATTTCTAATAAAAAAGACAATGTTCAAAAGTGTGATAGCTTGCACCCAAGAGATATTTTATATACTGAAAGTACTTGATCTACAGAGTCTAGTGGTATACTTTATATGGTCGAGTGACCTCGGGTGTGGCCGCAGTGACCACTTTAATCGGGAAAATTCTGAAAGTCAAATCTTTTATTTTATAAATAACCATGTCATATTATATATCAATGGAAAGGTATGGATGAGTAGAATCGAAATCCGAAGGAATCTCTCAAATCTGATATAACCGAGAAAAGTTATATCAAAATCAAGAAATTTAGTATCAGTTTTGTATGTTTTTTATAGTGAATAACGTAATTACTGAACATCATTTATATCAATTTTAATTATGCTTACAATGATAATTAATTTCGCAAAGTTAAAAAAAATAAAATTTTTTAATATAAAATTTTTGGCATTTCACCCATTAACATTGAACTTTACCCTTTGAATTACAATTGAAATTCTATTTTATAAAAAATATTAATAAAAATATTCAAACAATTCTAAATTTTATAAATAGTAATTACTGATACAATGACAATCTATTTTAGCGACCAATCTATTGGACGCATTTCGCCATCACATATACGACTATAACCGGTCACTCATCGAGTGTTTCACACAGTGCTCGGGCTAATCACCAGTACTGCACGCTATATGCCTTGTATGCGATCACTAAATTGGCCACATCTCGGTGGTTTTTACTAATTGTTTAATTGTAAATTATTCACCATATTTGTAAAACATTTAACATTTGAATAATTTCTAGCCTCGATTGACAAACTTGCGAAAACTTTCCCGAGGTGAAGTGGAAACGTAATTTGTGAACAGCCCCTAATACCCGGATGGCATCACTTAAAAATATTATGTGCATAACTTTGATCATGTGTTTATTCAGAATTTCATCATCGATAATAAAGCACATGTGCTGTAGATTACATGTACCGTACGTTTATCAACAAAGTTGCTTTTAAAATGTAAAATATTCAATACTGTATTGTTGATAGAAATCATATCCTTTTGTCAGATCAACAAACTTTAATCCGGGGCTAAAAATGTGATCCAGATTTTAATCCCAGATTTAACTAATCATATTTGGACTCAATTTGTATAAATAGTTTGCATTTTGTCTCAAATTTGCAGTTTTGATAAATATTTGCAAAATTGTTACACCAATTAAACAACGAAAATGCTATTTATTTAATGCATTTAAAATTTATTAATTAAAATTTTAACTATAATTAATTTTGTTTTATGTATTCTGTGTTTAAATCACTGTTTAAATAATGAGTGAATTATTGAAAAAGTTTGCAATTTGTGATCAAAATTTGACTCATATTAACGGAAATATCATTAAATTACATGTTTTTAATGATGTGTTCAACAAAACCAATGTATTATTCATTACGAGCGATGATATTGTCTATGGTTTTGGCAATAATAGCAACGGATGTCTTGGATTTGGACACAACAGACCCATACTATCACCACAACTGATACCGGAATTGCGTAATCAAAGTATACAATACTTTACCAATGGATGTGATTATGTATTAGCCGTGAATAACTTGAATCACATATTCATTTGGGGCGATTATAGTGTGCGACGATTGGCCCAGGGTTATTATCTAACACCTAGATCAATGGCATGTTTGAACGATAAAAATATTGTTCAAATAAGTTGTGGTAATTATCACACACTGGCCCTCACGAGTGATGGCCGGGTGTATGCCTGGGGTGACAACTCTTTGGGACAAATAGGCTGTGGAGATATAAATGGATATTTCTTTACACCAATTGAGATACAATTCCCCATTAATTGTAAAATTCAATCCATTTATTGCAATATTGAGTCTTCATTTGCCATCACATCCGATGGCTATGTCTTCAGTTGGGGTCAGAATTGTGACCAAAGATTGGGACACAATATAAGTGATAGGAAAGTGTCAAAACCTCAATGGATATCAACCATAACTGCTGTGAAATCAATCATTTGCTCACAATTTGGTACATATTTTCACACAATTAACGGCTTATACTTTTGCGGAGAGTATTATATAAATAGTATTAAAATCATTGAAGAAATTCCTAAACATATATTTAATTGTTTACAACAAATTGATTTTGCCGTTGATATTAATAATCAATTTATTTTTGTTTTAAGTAACGATAAAATCTACAAATTATCAAATGATCACAAACTATACGAAACCAATTATAATAATTTAATCGCGTTTTACGCCAATGAATATCAAATCACTTATAAAACAATTGATTTGAGAGAAATAAGTGAAATATCAATCATTACGACAAATGATATTGAAATGAAAAGCGATGAGAATATGCCAATCGATGACAACAAGCAATTCAACGAAACGTTACAACAGATTATTATTCAGAATATTAAAGCAGTGGAAACAAGTGGTGGTAATTGTAAACCATAGTTAACTTTATTGATTAAAATTATATAAACTAAATTATATTATGATATATATGATAGGTCAGAGCGTTTACACCGATAGGTTTGGCAAACCCGAGCTCATAGGGAGGGGTGGGTTCGGCGTTGTGTATAAAGTGAAGCATAACTCAGGCGATGAGGTGTACGCCATCAAAACGGTCACTTTTGTCGGTAAGAAAACTAATTTTAATTGTAGATTATTTATCATATTTGTAAAACACTTTGCATTTGAATAATTTCTAGCCTCAAGTTATGCACACAAACTGCGAGTACTAAATGAGGTAAAAAGTTTAGAAAACGCGCGCTCAGAATATGTGGTCCAGTATTACACCTCATGGATGGACAACAATCGGCTGTACATTCAGATGGAGTACTGCCCGCAAAGTCTACGGACACTATTGGCCGACAAAGCGCTGGCATTTGGCAGACAATCGGCGGCCGAACCCATGAATGCCATCGAGTATTACATATCGTGTGAAATATTTAAAGAGCTCTTAGAGTGCGTTCAATACCTTCACGAATTGGTTCCACGGGTTATTCATCGGGATCTCAAACCAGACAACATTTTGATTGCCAAACCATTATATGATAACAACAATAGCCGGCGATTTATAAAATTGGGTGACTTTGGTTTGGCCACTGTTCACGACCCGAGCCGACACACTGCCATCCGATACGACCACTCGGCGGTCGGCACTAATAAATATAGAGCGCCCGAAGTATCTCACCGTCAATATAACCATAAGGCAGACATTTTTAGTCTTAGTCTAATAGGACAGGAGTTGTTTAATATTGATTTGCAGGCGTAAGTGTACAAAACATTTATTTTATAACATATTTAGTGTATTTTTACTATAAATTCTATTGTATTATATTTATAGCTCGCAATCGTTTGATGCAAATGAATCGGTATTCAAGTCATGTATGTCTGAAACACTGGAGAAAATGATGTCATATCCCCGTTGGCCACAGCGGCCTGAGTGTCGGGAAGTGTTGGCCAAACATAACGAGTGGTCTATCGATAGGCCAACCATTATAACCGCTGATTTAATATTCATATTAAATGGACTTCAATTGCATGAAAACTTATTTTTCTACGAGTTTTTTAAATACAAATGCGGAAATTAAATTCACACACAATTTGCTTATATTGTAATGCAATTAAATATTTAATACTCATTCGATGTCATTGTATTCACATATTAAATACAGAAATTTTTAATTAAAATTTTTATTACAAATGAAATTCCATTTTATAAAAAATTTATTAATACGGTAAAACGATTTAATGAATTTTTGTGATTAAAAATGTATAAATTATATTTTTTAAACAAAATTTAGGATTTAATGCTAATTGAGATACAATTGTTTAATAACTATAAAATATTATCCATTTGCTGTTATTTGTTGTCTTCATTTGATATCAAAATTTTTAATACAAAATATTTTAATGAAACTTGGTTTCTGGTGCTTAAGAAAGTTAAATTAATTTATCAAATTATTTTAATAATTACAACTATTTTAGAAAGTATTAAGTCTACGAATCAAATGACCTAATATAGTTGTTTTTTATATAAAATATTGACAATAATATACAGTATAAGATTATTACTATAGACATTATCATTTTATTTTGCTGATTACTACAATTGCAATTATAACAAGTGAGATAGGGTTCTCTCATTATGGTTCTCTAAGCATTAATAAAACGTTAGAACAAAGAAATTATTATTATTCATACATTAAATGATTTCTATTATGTTTTGTTGGTTTATAAAAATAGCCAAAATTGCTAAATTTTAAAATTATTTTATAGATAGATAATTGTGTTAAATATGTGTGATTTAATAGATATAATTAAAGTTTGTGATAAAATTCCAGCAAATATTAAAGAAAATATTGCAAAATTATTCGTTATCAATGATTTTCATAATATGCCAAATATATTATTTATTACATCCGATGATATGGTCTACGGTTTTGGTAATAATGGCTTTGGATGTCTAGGTTTGGGACACAACAGTTCCATACAATTACCACAAATAATACCACAATTATGTCATCAAAACATACAATACTTTGTTAATGGATGTGATTTTGTATTAGCAGTAAATAATGTTAACAGTATATATGGTTGGGGTTATAATACCAACGGACAATTAGGCCGACCAAATAAAAATAACAAATACTATTTAAAACCAAAAATAGTAACATATTTTAATGACAAAAATATTGTGCAAATCAGTTGTGGTTCTTTGCACACACTGGCCCTCACCGGTGATGGCCGGGTGTATGCCTGGGGTTGGAATTATTATGGTCAAATTGGTTGCGGAGGTAACAGCAAACGTGTTTTTATACCCGTAAAAATTGAATTTAATAACAATTATCAAATACAATCCGTTTATTGCCACAATTGGTCCTCATTTGCCATCACATCCGATGGACATGTGTTCAGTTGGGGAGACAATAGATGTCTTCAATTAGGACACAGTAATCCTTATTATGAAAGTTTGAAACATGAAGTTATATCAACCATAAGTGGTGTGCAAAAAATTATTTGTTCAAAATTTGGTACATATTTTCACACAACAAATGGTTTATACTTTTGTGGCAAATATTATGAAAATAATATTGAAATGTTTGCTAAAATTCCTAAACAAATATTATGTGAATATAATTGTCAAGAATTACAACATATTAATTCATGGAATTCCAAGAATAATGACTTCATAAGTGTTTTAATTAACGACACAATATATAAGATATCAAATGAACACAAAATAATTGAAACAAATTATAATAATTTTATCGACTTTTACGCAAATGAATGCCAAATAACTTATAATACAATTAATTTGAAACGAATGTATGACATATCACGTGATAGCAATTTTAATGCAAAATTCATATTTGAATTATTAGAAAAGTTAAAATTTTTAAATAAATCTCCGGTAGATATTTTATTTAATATTTCGAAATTACATGTTTTTTATGATTTGAATAAAAAGTATAATCTATTATTTGTCACTAAAGACGATATGGTGTATGGTTTTGGTAATAATAATAATGGATGTCTAGGTTTTGGTCACAACACTCCTATACCATTACCAGAAATAATACCACAATTATGTCATCAAAACATTCAATACTTTGTCAATGGATGTGATTTTGTTTTATCTGTGAATTCTATGAATTGGATTTATGGGTTTGGATGTAATGATAATGGTCAATTAGGGCGACAAAATAAAAATAACAAATACTATTTAAAACCAAAAATAATCGCATATTTTAATAATAAAAATATTGTGCAAATTATTTGTGCTTATGACCACACACTGGTACTCAGTAATGATGGCCGGGTGTATGCTTGGGGTGGCAACAAATATAGACAAATTGGTTGTGTAGATAGCAGTGAATATATTTATACACCGATTGAAATTAAATTCAATGATAGATATAAAATTCAATCTATTTATTGCTGTTATTGGTCCTCATTTGCCATCACATCCGACGGACATGTCTTCAGTTGGGGTGACAACAGAGGACATGAATTGGGACACAATATAGTTGAAAATATAATATTAATACCTCTATTAATATCAACCATAAGTGATGTGAAAACAATCAGTTATAGTAATTATGGCACATATTTTCACACAACAAATGGTTTATACTTTTGCGGCAAATATTATGAAAATAATTGGCAAAAAATTGTAAAAACACCAAAACAAATATTATTTGAACATAATTGTCAAGAATTACAACAAATTACTTCATGTTATTCTAAGAATAATGACTTAATATGTGTTTTAATTAACGACACAATATATAAGATATCAAAGAAACACAAAATAATTGAAACAAATTATAATAATTTTATTGACTTTTACGCCAATGAATGCCAAATAACTTATAATACAATAATTGTCAAAGAGATCAACAATCAAACATTATTAATAATTTCAAACATGTTAATTATAATTGCAAATAACCTCATTGGGAAATATAAAACCCAATTCATTGAGATGTCAGTTATAGCTTGGGGTGGTTTTGGGACAGTATTTAAAGTAAAGCATAAATTGGATGATAAGATATATGCCGTTAAAAGAGTAGTATTTGAGGGTAAATATCAAAATTATTTATTATTTAATTTCAAATAAATATTTACTACAATATTCTCACAGATTTTAATGAAAAATATAAACAAAAAGTGATAAATGAAGTAAAAATCTTAGCAAAACTGGATTCAAATTTTGTAGTTATTATTTGAAATATTTTGTAAATATTACAACTCGTGGACTGAAGGGAGACATGTGTTCATTCAAATGGAGTATTGTTCGCAAACACTCGGGTCTGTCATTAAAGACAAACCCATAGTATTTGGCAGACAATCGTCGGAAGCAATGAATATTTACGAGTATTTTATTTCGTGTGAAATACTTCGAGAAATTCTAGAATCACTTCAATATCTCCACGAATTGGATTCACCGGTTATTCACCGGGATTTGAAAGTCGATAACATTTTTATTGCAAACAACACAATGAATGGTAGATTTCTAAAACTAGGTGACTTTGGTTTGACCATCGGTCAATCAATCACAAGCTATGTGGGAGCCGCACCAAAACTATGTCAACCCACAAATAAAGTAGACATTTATAGTATGTCTGGCATTTCACAGCATTTGTTTGATTTATTCAGTATATATGACATGTAATGCAAAATGAAAATTAATGTTAAAAAATTTCAAATTTTAATATTTGTTTAATCTAGAGGCGATCCCATAGAAATATATTGTTTAACAGGATTTTCAAAAAATTTTAACGTATTGTATGAAATTATTGGACAAATGTCTAAACGAATGGCACACAATCGGCCGACAAGTGCTGAAATACTGCATGAATATAAGCACTGGTCAGTCGATAAGTATATAATTTCTGAAAACGATGCGGAATTCAATGCATGTTTGAATAAACTTAATACTAATGAGAATATATTTTTTTACAACTTTTTGTTAACTAAATGTATATCTGATGGCAATTATAAAATACAATTCATTGAGATGTCAGCCATAGGTTCGGGTGGTTTTGGGACTGTATTTAAAGTAAAGCATAGATTGGATGACAAGATATATGCCGTTAAAAGAGTAGTATTTGATGGTATAAAATATAATTAGTTGTTTGCAATCATTTATAAAGTTTTTAAAATAAATATTTTCATAGAATTCATTGAAGAAAACAAAGAAAAGGTTTTGAAAGAAGTGAAAAGTTTGGCGAAACTGGACTCAAATTTTGTGGTCAAATATTATAACTCATGGCCTGAATGTAATCATCTCTATATTCAGATGGAGTTTTGTTCGCAAAGTCTTCGGTCTCTACTCGAAGACAAACCAATTGTCTTCGGGAGACAACCCGAAGACCCGATGAATGTCTTTGAATACTTTATTTCGTGTGAAATATTCAAAGAGATCTTAGAGTGCGTCCAATATCTCCACGAATCGGATCCACCAGTTATTCATCGGGATCTCAAACCCGATAACATATTAATTGATCCCAACTTTACGTCCAATCGTTGTGTAAAACTGTGTGACTTTGGTTTAGCCACCGATCACAACATCAATGGTCAGACATCTAACAGATACGCGCATTCAGTAGTGGGCACAACACGATATATCGCACCAGAAGTATATAGCGGTAGATATAATAGCAAATCAGACATTTATAGTCTGTATGTAATCGGCGAACAGGTGTTTAATATTGATCTCCAAACGTAAGTATTTTACAAATATGTTAATTAAAAAGTTTTTATATTTATATTCTGTATTTACAGCTCAGAATCGTTTGAAGTGAAGGAATCTGAGTTAAAGTTATACATAATAAGTCTGTATCAGACATTACTGGCAATGATGTCAACACCCTTTTGGAAGCGAAGGCCTGAGTGTCGGCAAGTATTGGCCAAACATAACGAGTGGTCAATTGATAAGACTGTTGTCGCAAATCATAAACAGTTTAATTCAGTGTTAAATACACTTAAAAGTAATGATAATTTGGTTTTCTATGAGATTTTGTCGCGTAAATAGCGTTGCCAGAAATATTTTGGAATTTCCTGGAAAATTTGATATTTCCCCCCAAATTTCCTAGATTTTCCTGGATTTGAGTTGTCAGTAACCCCAAAAATATCTATGTTAACATTTTTATTGAATTTTCTAATATAACGTCTGTTTCAAAAATTTTTGCAATGGTTACACATAGTTTACAAATGGTTATAACAATGCTTACACTACTATTCTTATCGATATCTATAAATCTCAGTGAAACACTCTGACCATAAACCTGTAAAAATTGATAAACACTATTGTTACACCTCATTTATCCAAAATTTACTTCCTGGATTTTTCAATGTCCAGGAATGACCCCTCCCTGGACTCTACAAAAATTGTCTATTTCCTGGATAATCCAGGACGTTCCTGGACGTCTGGGAACGCTACGCGTAAAACACAATAATAGACTCTCAACACATAATTTGTGTTTTAATCAATGATAAAATAAAGTTTATATAATATATTATGTTTTCAAATGAACATAAATTTATTAAAACTGATTATAATATTTTTGATTACTGGTTTTATATCAATTAAAGTCATATAACTTATAAAACAATTAATTTGAAAAAATTAAATATAAAAACAAATGCGACTAAATATGTGCAAATTAAAGGTAAATATAACATATATTTATAATATTAATGAAATCAAAAACAATTAATATATTATTAAAATAATTAAACACATTTTAGTGAAGAAAAGATAAGATTATTAAAAAAAAGTTCAATGTTTGGCACAACTGGACTCACGTGTAGCCAACTGTTGGTACCTTTCTATACATAGGCCACCAAATGTTGAAATCATTGGTCTAATTATTACCACATTTATTTTATTATTTTGTTTATGATTATATGTGTTTTGTATGTAAAATATTGGCCATAATAAATTAGATTTTTACCTTGGTGACCTAGCTTATTAAATGTACTACAAACCAGTGTACAAGCAAAAAATTATATGCGTACAATAAAGCTATTAGCACGTATTACGTATGTTATTTTATTAGCATACTGAATATTGTCGTCATTTGATTTTAAACTATATGACATTTTAATAAAATTGGACTTAATTAAAAATATGTCTCATTTAGCACAAATAAATAAAAACGTAATTATATTTAAACATTTATTTCATATTATTGCACTTAAATTAGTAAACTAAAAAATTTATAATATTATAAACTATTACAATTTATTATTATATTTTCAGATATGTTTTGAAATTTATATAAGTAAACAATATTTGTGTAAAATATTTATAATAATGTGATAATGTTTTATATATCTGTTTTATAGTCAGCATTTCATTTAATATTATATGATTTGTGATAAAAGTTTTCTTAAAAAATTATAAATATAGTGAAAAACTATTATAAAACATAACTAAATAACTGTTTTTAATTATTGACTAAATATATATGTTAATATTTAACACAATTCTCGGTTACGTTAAACAGTATTATTAAACAAATATTAAATATTTAAAATTAAAATTGTATTTTAATATTTTAAATGTGGTGTTATAAATTATAACTTATAATCAGTAAAAATTATTAAAATATTACAAAAATGTGCGATTTATTAGAAAAGTTTACAATTCATAGTAGAATTCCGACAATTATTAAAGAAAATATTATAAAATTACATGTTTTTGTTGATGTGAACGAAGAAATTGATGTATTATTGATCACAACCGATGATATTGTCTATGGTTTTGGTCATAATTCAAAAGGACGTCTTGGTTTTGGACACAACAGTCGTATACAATCACCACAACTGATCCCACAATTATGCCATCAAAACATACAATACTTTGTCAATGGATATGACTTTGAATTAGCAGTAAGTGACATAAATAGGTTACATGGATGGGGCTGTAATGACTATGGTCAATTAGGGTTTGACAATAAATCGGCTAATGATATACTAGAGCCACGATTAATATCCGAGTTAAATGATAAACAAATTACACAAATTAGTTGTGGTTATCGTCACACACTGACCCTAACATGTGATGGCCGGGTGTATGCCTGGGGTAGCAATGATTGCGGACAAATTGGTTGCGGAGATAATAGTAGATATAATTATAAACCAATTGATGTAAAGTTTGTTAATAATTATAAAATACAATCCGTTTATTGTTTTAATAACTCTTCGTTTGCCATCACATCCGACGGACATGTAATCAGTTGGGGTAATAATAAAGACCATAAATTAGGGCACGATTTAAATGAAAATTATATATTTAACCCCCGAATGATATCAATGGTAATCGATGTGAAAGCAATCACTTCTTCATATTATGGCACATATTTTCACACAACAAATGGTTTGTATTTTTGCGGCAAATATTATGAAAATAATATAAAAATGATTGCAAAAACACCAAAACAACTATTAGCACAATATTGTATCAAAAATATACAACAAATTAATTCCTGGATCAACTATAATAAAAATAATTTCATATGTGTTTTAATGAATAATAAAATATATAAAGTATTAAAACACAATAACACATTATCTGATACAAATTATGATAATTTTATTAATTTTTATGCAAATGAATGTCAAATAACTTATAATACGGTTGATTTGTCGCAACAAAGAAGTGAAAAAACTACCCTTTCTTCAAGTTATAATATTTATAATAGAAGAATAATAGAAAAGTGCATATATTGTGATAAAATTCCTGTCAATTTAAGAAAAAATATTTTAAAATTACATGTATTTCATGATTCAGACAACAAGTCTAATGGTTTATTTGTCACAAGTATTGATTTGGTCTATGGTTTTGGTAATAATAGCAACGGATGTCTTGGCTTTGGACACAACAGTCCTATACTATCACCAGAAATAATACCACAATTATGCCATCAAAACATACAATACTTTGTCAATGGAAAGGATTTCGTACTAGCTGTAAATGATATGAATTACATATATGGTTGGGGTAGAAATGGATGCGGTCAATTAGCAAGAATTAAAACCGATCAAAATTGTTATCGACCAGAAATGATATATTTGAACGATAAAAATATTGTTCAAATCAGTTGTGGTTTTGGGCACACATTGGCCCTCACCGGTGATGGCCGGGTGTATGCCTGGGGTTGCAATGATTGCGGACAAATTGGTTGCGGAAATAATATTCAATGTATTTATAGACCAATTGAAGTAAAATTTAATAATGATTGTAAAATAAAATCCGTTTATTGTTATAACAACTCTTCATTTGCCATCACATCTGAGAGACATGTCTACAGTTGGGGTCAGAATACTAACCATAGATTGGGACACAATTTAATGGACGATAAATTATTAAAACCCCGTTTGATTCAAACCATAAGTGATGTGAAAACAATTAGTGGTAGTATTTATTGTACATATTTTCACACACAAAATGATTTGTATTTTAGTGGCAAATGTTTTAAGAAACGATTTTTCACTTTGAAAGTCGCAAAAACACCGAAACAAATACTATCCGCACATCATATCAAAAAAGTGGGAGAAAATAATTCATGGATTAATTTCACTAATAATAAGTTTATTTGTGTTATAATTAATAAGAAAATATATAAACTATTGAAAACACACAAAATTGTTGAAACAGATTATAAAAATTTTATTGACTTTTACACAAATCAATACCAAATAACTTATAATACAATTCATTTAAGACGACTCAACGAAAAGTTAATATTGACATCAATGGTTAGCGTAAATAACATAAATATTAAATTATGTGAAGGTAAATATAATAGAACATTCATTGAGATGTCAGCCATAGGTTCGGGTAGTTTTGGGACTGTATTTAAAGTAAAGCATAGATTGGATGATAAGATATATGCCGTTAAAAGAGTGCAATTTGAAGGTATTAATTAATATAAATAGTTATTAAAATTTTTAACAAATATAATAATTATATTATTACAGACTTTAGTGAAGAAAAGAAAAATCAAATCCACCGAGAAGTGAATAATTTGGCAAAACTGGACTCAGAATTTGTGGTCAAATATTACAACTCATGGCTTGAGTCCAATCATCTCTTCATTCAAATGCAATTCTGTTTACAAAGTCTTAAATCTGTTCTCAAAGACAAACCCATTGTCTTCGGGAGACAACCGGAAGACCAGATGAATGTCTTTGAATATTTTATTTCATGCGAAATATTCAAAGAGATCTTAGAGTGCGTCCAATATCTTCACCAATCGGTTCCGGCAGTCATTCATCGGGATCTCAAACCCGATAATATAGTGATTAAACACAACATTAAGTCCAATCGGTTTATAAAACTGTGTGACTTTGGTTTAGCTGTCGATCACAACATCACTGAAAGCACTTCTAGTCGATGCGAGCACTCAATTGTGGGCACAAGAAAATATATGGCTCCCGAAGTATACAGCGGTATATATAGCCAAAAAGCAGACATTTATAGTCTCCATGTTATCGGTCAAGAGTTGTTTGGCATTGATGTTCAGGAGTAAGTTATTTATTACTTTTTTGTTGGTATTATTACAGTCTTATTATATTTATGCATATTATTTATTTAAGTAATATTTATTTATAGCTCACAATCGTCTGAAACTAATGAACATTTTCTCAAATTACCGCTAAAATGTATGTATCGGACACTCGTGGCAATGATGTCAACACCCATTAGTAGTGATAGGCCTGAGTGTCGGGAAGTGTTGGCCAAACATAACGAGTGGTCTATTGATAAAAGTGTTGTCATAAATCATCAAGAATTCAATTCAGTGTTAAATACACTTAAAACTAATGATAATTCAGTTTTCTATAAGATTTTATTTCATAAAACCAATTCGACTTTGTATAACCAACCAATTAGTATAACTACTGGACAGTCGATAAATTATAATAATATCAATTCAATTTACTGTTAAATTCATTTAAATCTTATGATAACTTATTTTCCTTAAGTTATTGTGTAACTGCATATTACAGTCAATGCGTTTATTATTGTATTTTTCAATGACGTAAAGATAATAAATAATTAATAAACGTTATATTTAATTGATTTATTGTCATTGCAAGATAAAAATTATATGCGATTAATGTTGATAGATAATGCGTAACTTGTTTCGGCAGCATATTTTAAGAAACACTTGCAAAACATTTATAAAACAATTAAAAATTAAATTTTTAGACATTTATCTCTAGCCCCATAAATATTAATTAATTAATTATTTAGAAATAAACACAATTTTAAAGATATAATAAAATATAATACCTAATAATATTTTGATACAACCAAAAATTCAAATAGAACAAATAGTTATAACCATAATTATTTTGATATTTATTCTAGAACCTAGATATGATAAATACTTAAACATAAAATAAAGGTTATATTTAATTGATTTGTTGCTATCGATAAGTGTCTGTAATTAATGTCTGTCTTATATAATAAGCGTAATAGAAATGTATGACTCGTTTGGCGACAAAATGTTTTAAGAAATACGTGCAAAACATTTACGTTAATAATGATTAAAATATTTTACTCAAACATTTTTAAACATTGATCTCGAGCCACACAAGTATTTAGTAAATTATTGTTTGAAAATTAATACCATTTTAAGGATTTTATAAAATGTCAAAAGTTATACCATTTTAATAAGTAGATTTATTATTATGATTGGACTAAAAAGTTATTATCATAATTTATTTGATATGATTAATACCATTCCTAACTAACTTTATATAATCATTATATAAATTTAGAATTTTTATTTAGATCATAATTTGATACTTTGCTATAAGGATACAATAATTTGTATTGTTTTGTGCATTAAATATAAGAATTTATTTATAAATAATTATTTATAATTTTGTAATAATGAGTGAATTATTAGAAAAGTTTCCAAAATTTGATAATATTTTGACAAAATTTAGAAAAAATATTACAAAATTACATGTTTTTCATGATTCAAATGAACAAATCAATATATTGTTTGTCACAAACAAGGATATTGTCTACGGTTTCGGTCATAATAGCAATGGATGTCTGGGCTTTGGACACGACTATTATGTCAATTCACCGGAAAAAATACCAAGGTTATGTAAGCAAAACATACAATACTTTGTCAATGGATTAGAATTCGTATTAGCAATGAATAACATAAATATGGTATACGGTTGGGGTAATAATGAATATGGTCAATTGGCAAAACATCCAGATGTATTCAAGTTATTCAAACCTAAGGTAATTCCATACTTTAACGATAAGAATATTGTACAAATCAAATGTGGGTCTCGACACACACTGGCCCTCACCGGTGATGACCGGGTGTATGCCTGGGGTGACAACTATTGGGGGCAAATTGGTTGTGGAGATAATAGTAACTGTATTTACACACCAATTGAAATAGATTTTAATAATTTAAATATACAATCAATATATTGTTGTTACGAATCTTCGTTTGCCATCACAACCGATGGACATGTCTTCAGTTGGGGTTATAATTGTGAGTATCAATTGGGACACAATATAACCGATGATAATGTATTGAAACCCCGATTGATATCAACCATAAGTGATGTTAAAACCATTACATGTAGTTTTTATGGCACATATTTTCACACAACAAATGGTTTATATTTTAGTGGAAAATATTATGAAAAGAGACGCGAATTGTTTGAAAAAACTCCGAAACCTATATTACAATTAATTAATATTCAAGAATTACAACAATTAAGTTCATTAATAATTATTGAATATAATAAATACGTTAGTGTTTTGATAAAAGATAAAATATATGTCATATCAGGTGACCATAAAATATATACAACAAAATATAATAATTTTGTCGACTTTTACGCAAATAAATACGAAATAACTTATAATACAATCAATTTGAAAGAAATATCAAATAATGAAATTTTAAGACTAAAAATTGATAATAAAATTGAAAAAGAAATTAAAGTTAAAAAAGCAAAAAGTGAAAGTGAAACTAAAACACTAGAGATAAATTATTATGATAAAAATGGGAATTTAATCGATGGTATTTATAAAACACAATTCAGTGAGAGTTCACGCATAGGTTTGGGAAATTTTGGGACAGTATTTAAAGTAAGGCATAGTGTAGACGACAAGATCTATGCCGTTAAACGAATTGACTTTGGAGGTAAATATAATGATAATTTATTATATCCATTAAACAATTTAATTATAGTTTAATTAAATGTTTATTAATGTTTAGATTTTAGTGAAGAAAAGAAACAAAAAGTTTTGCAAGAAGTGATCCATTTGTCAAACTTGGACTCAGTTTTTGTTGTCAAATATTACAACTCATGGCTTGAGTCCAATCATCTCTACATCCAAATGGAGTTTTGTTCGCAAACTCTTAAATCTCTGATTAAAAACAAAGCCATTGTTTTTGTGAGACAACCGAAAGACCGAATGAATGCTTTTGAATATTTCATTGCGTGTGAAGTATTCAAAGAGATCTTAGAGTGTGTCCAGTATTTACATGAATTGAAACCATCGGTCATTCATCGGGATCTCAAACCCGACAACATATTAATTGATCCCAACTATAGGTCCAATCGGTTTGTAAAACTGTGTGACTTTGGTTTAGCCACTGATCACAACATTGATAGACAGACTGCCAGTGGAGACGAGCACTCAATTGTGGGCACAACAAGATATATGGCTCCCGAAGTGTGTAGCGGTAAATACAGCCATAAATCGGACGTTTGGAGTCTCTATGTTATCGGTCAAGAGTTGTTTGGTATCGATCTTCAGACGTAAAAATTTAACATTTATTTAATTAGTAATTAAAGTAAATATGAATTAAAACTTTGCAAACAATTTACAGCAAACATGTGAAGAGTTCGCTAACATTTGAAGCCAACGAATCGGTATTCAAAAAAGCCGTGCAATCAATATATAGGACACTCGTGTCAATGATGTCACCACCCGTTTGGACTGATAGGCCTGAGTGTCGGGAAGTGTTGGCCAAACATAACGAGTGGTCGATTGATAAGACTTTTGTCACGAATCACAAGGAATTCAATTCAGTGTTAAATACACTTAAAACTAATGATAATTCGGTTTTCTATGAGATTCTATCGCGCAAAACAAATATACATATAGTGTAACATATAATATGTCAATCATATTATCAAATCGAATAATTAATAATAAGTCATTTTATTAAAAAAGTATGGAGACATAATATTCAATTTATAAAGTTAAAATATATGCCATTCCACGACTTACCCCAATTATAACTCATTTTGAAATGATTTTATACCTATATATAAGATATTAATTTAAAAATTACAGTTTCTTTTTATTTCAAGTAAATTTTATTTTTATTAAAAATAATCAAAATGATTCACTTTATCACAATATAAATTTACTCGTTGTAATAAAAATAAAAATAATCTTACAATTAATTATATCTGATTTGTATACAAACATTGTAGTAAATGTAATGTTTATTTTAAGCAAATATTATCAGCAAAACGCAGACTTTATTAACAAATATCAATATTATTATTTAGTAATAAATATCAGATAAAAAGTAACAAAATAATAATAAATATCATGAATTCTATCACAAAAATTTAAATCACATCTGAAATTTAATTATATTACTATTTTATCATATTATTTAGACACTCAACTTTCTTCCTGTAATAGACTTTCATAAGTAAAATATTAAATAGTAGTATTTTAAATTGCTTATAAAAATTGCATTTTATTCATAATTATTAATGTATAAATATATACAGATATAACAGTATGTAATGTATATTTCAATTTATATGCTTATCTCTAGTTTGTTTCAAATTGTATTTAAAAATTAATTTATAATAAAGAAGGCTTAAACTTGTAATGAAAAGTAATATGTATATCATGTAAGGAATATATTGAATAATATTATCTACAATATTAATGTCAATTCCGATATTGATTAAGGCATTAAAATTTGTTTATTGATAACGAAATGTCACTTAATTTTTATATCCTATTTATTAAGTATATTACATATATTAACCAATCAGAAAGGCATATAATTAGCTAACGAAATAATACATGTTGCTATAAACAATTACGTCAATAGTGTTGAGTTTACACCATAATTATTTATAATTGAAATTTTTACAGAAAATTAATTAATCTATGTTATTTCAAAAAAGTGTACATGGTTATTGAGGTTAAAACCTATGGTATTTATCGATACGTTGTATTCAATGATTGTTATTCACGACATAAGTATTTGTTCATAAAAACAACAATTATTATTGTACAACAAAATTGCTATTTATTTGAGAAATATTTTTTATACAGTGATTTATTAATAGGTTAATTGAATTTAATTAATTAACTAATTCTATTAATTACTAATTAGTAATTCATAATCATTTATAAAATTATTAATTGTGCAAAAGTTTTAAATATAATTTTATAAAAATGTCTGAATTGTTAGAAAGGTTTGCGGAATTCCGCGAAAGTGCCGATTATTTTAAATATATTATTTCAAAATTTCATATATTTTATGATTTTGATAACAATTATAACGTGTTATTTGTCACAAACTATGATAAAGTTTACGGTTTTGGTCATAATAGCAATGGCTGTCTGGGCTGTGGCCACAACTTTCCCAAACAAGTGTCGAAAATAATACC